TATGAACAGACATTTCTCAAAAGAAGACATTCATACAGCCAACAGACATGAAAAAATGCTCATCATCACTGGCCATCAGAGAAATACAAATCAAAACCACAATAGAGGTACATATCACACAGTTAGAATGGCGATCATTCCAAAGTCAAAAAGGAAACAACCTTAGGTGCTGGAGAGGATGTGGAGAAATAGGAACACTTTTACACTGTTGGTGGGATTGCCAAACTAGTTCAACGTACTTTGGAAAACAGTATGGCTGATTCCTCAGGATCTGAATAGATGTACCATATGACCCAGCCATCCCATTACTAGGTATATACCCAAAGAATTATAAATTATGCTGCTATAAAGACACATGCACACGTATGTTTATTGCAGCACTGACCACAATAAAGACTTGGAATCAACCCAAATGTCCATCAGTGACAGATTGGATTAAAGAAAGAAATGTGGCATATACACCTACATGGAATACTATGCAGCCATAAAGGATGAGTTTGTGTCCTTTGTGAGGACATGGATAAGCTGAAACCATCATTCTCAGCAAACTATCACCAAGAACAGAAAACCAAACACCGCATGTGTTCTCCTGCTCTTGAGTCAGGGCTGAACAATGAATCACTTGGACTTGGGAAGGGGAACATCCCGGGAGGGCCTATCATGGGGAGGGAGGAGGGGGGAGATTGCATTGGAGTTATACCTGATGTAAATGACACGAGTTGATAGGTGCAGCACACCAACATGGCACAAGTATACATATGTAGCAAACCTGCACGTTGTGCACATGTACCAGCGAAGTTTAATAATAATAAATAAATTAAAAAAAAAAAAAAGAAGTTATGACACGTAAAAAAAAATATAGAGGCAGAATTAAGCATAGCATTTACTATATTAACTAAGGAAAGAAAACCTGATGGATGCAGATAAAGCATTTCACATAATTGGTATCGCCACTTGCCCAGTGAACTCTCTCAGGAAACTAATTAAATAAGAATTCCTTCAACCTCAATAAAGAGGCATTGACAAACACATAACATCATACTGAATGGTGAAGAAGACTGATTTCTTTCCCTAAAAGTGGGAACAAGGGAAGGATATCAGTTTCATCACTCCTATTCAATATTACTGGAAAGGCCTAAAACCTAATAAGAGCAAGAAAACAAAGAGGCATGTGGATGTGGATTAGAGAGGGAAAAAAGAGGAAATAAACCAGCCTCTATTCACTTGGGAACATATATTTTCAAAGAAAATTCTAAAGATTTTTCCAAAAAAGGTAAAACTAACAGAAAAAAAAAAAGAAGTTATGACACGTAAAAAAAAAATATTAGAAAGTGAATTAATGTAATTTACTATATTAACTAAGGAAAGAAAACCTGATGGATGCAGATAAAGCATTTCACATAATTGAGTATCCATACATGATAACTCTCAGGAAACTAGGAATTAAATAAAATTCCTTCAACCTCAATAAAGGGCATTGACAAACACATAACATCATACTGAATGGTGAAAGACTGATTTCTTTCCCCCTAAAAGTGGGAACAAGGGAAGGATATCCAGTTTCATCACTCCTATTCAATATTGTGCTGGAGGTCCTAGAAAGTACAATAAGGCAAGGAAAACAAAGGGCATGTGGATGTGGATTAGAGGAAAAAAAAGAAATAAACCAGCCTCTATTCATAGAGACATATATATTTTCAAAGAAAATTCTAAAGATTTTTCCAAAAAAGGTAAAACTAACAGGTGAATTTACAGGCCAATCTATAAAAATCTATGATGTTTTTATACACTAGCAATAAATAACTGGAAACTGATTTTTGAATTGTCATTTACAATACTACCAACAATCTTGAAATACTTAAGTATAAATCAAGCAAAATATGTATAAGATCTGTGTGCTATCAGCACCATAGGAAATGTAAGAAAATCATACACATACATAAAAGTCTGTGTGCTAAGGCTGGGTGCAATGGCTCACGCCTGTAATCCCAGCACTTTGGGAGGCCAAGTCGGGTGGATCATGAGGTCAGGAGTTCAAGACCATCCTGGCCAATCTGATGAAACCCTGTCTCTACTAAAAATACAAAAATTAACTGGGAGTGGTGACGCATGCCTGTAGTCCCAGCTACTCAGGAGACTGAGGCAGAAGAATTGCTTGAACCCATGAGGCGGAGGTTGCAGTGAGCTGAGATTGTGCCACTGTACTCCAGCCTGGTGACAGAGTGAGACACCATTTCAAAAAAAAAAAAAAAAAAAAAAAAAAAA